CCACACCCACCACACCACGCCACACTCACACACACCACACCACACACCACCATCCACTACACACACACACACACACACACACACACACACATATATATATATAAATGCCCAATAAACTATGAGCTCTTAGTCCGTTTCGTAGAACACATATCCATGTACTGAATGCAAAGAAAACAGAGCAAAACAAGAAAGGGTTTATACGACCCGCAGCCTTGTGCCATAAGGCCGGCATCCCAGATACGCACAATGTACATATGAGCCTTAGAGATCCAAACCCAACAGCAAAAAAGCCAAGAAATCGCATGAAAAAGCACAAACCTCGACGGAGTGTACCGCCGCGACGTGTGCCTGGAATGTACTCTTCTTTATCGTAAACGGTTCATGGCTCGTTATTTCCGGAACCTCCCCTGCATTCCTTCCATCCGTATCTTTCTGGTCACCACTCGCATCTTTCCAGGTCTTATTGTATGCGTACTCCCCCTCCGTGTGCAGTGTTAATTCCTCGAGATTGTGCTCGAGTGCGTCAGCGGTTGCCGTACCGAACTGTCCTTGGGAGCTTTCTGTTCTAAGTTTTTCATCCACTTTTACCGCGAGATGCTGCAGGGTGTATGGAAGCCGAGATTATAAGCAAACGAGTGGATACGAATATGAGAGCAAGAAAGTCAGGTGATGTTCTCATGAACGTACGTACACAAATCTCTGCATATTCTTACCCTTGATTTCAGATATTCGTTTCAGTTCATGCAGACGTATTATATATGCATGTATAGACATATATAAATTGTGCTTTGGAGCAAGATACTAGAGTATGATATAGCCTTCGGTACCCCAAAAAACCGCTAGGAGAAACCTACTTCTGTCATACACACGACACTACGTCATACGCAGCTATATATATATATATATATATATATATATATATATATATATATATATATATACTATAACTAACAACACACACATATATATATATATACTATATATACACACACACACACACAC